GTCTTTCAGCTGCCTGCAAAGTTTGGAAGCCACTTGAAGGATTACCTTATATATGATGTCCAGAAATCATTGCTTAGCCAAAGACAAATCCAGACTCTCAAGGCTGGAAGATTTATCAATTTCCCAGAAACACTGTGTCTTCAGATAGGATCTAATACAATGTGTTTCTCAGCATAAATATGATTTACATGATTATTATTTTCTAACCACTGTTGTTAAAATACCAACTGTTAGCCTAACATCCAATTTTGGATTTATGAAGTTTATTGATGTTTTTATGCTTCTGCAGTCCGATGTTTGGTAAACTGTTGAAAGCTGTAGTTAGATGGGGGAGTGTGTATCTAAAAAGTAAAACAATTTAATTTATTTTCTGCAGAAAGTAATATGATATAATTAAAAATAGGAAAGATTGGTATCTCTTGGCATCAAATTTTAACACAAGCAGTAAAATAAAAATTATCAACCTTACATAAAGCAGATCTCTACCCCCCAGCCCCCTCCTCCCGCAATGGGGGTCCAATAAAACCCTGGAACATCCTGAGCATAATGAACATCAACTGGATATAAAACAGAACTCAAATTTTAATGGTTAAGGATGGGAGTATCTTCCTCTGTGGTGGGAGGAAAAACTGAAAATGCCAGAACATGATGTTTATAAAGGTTTTGAACTAATACATAAAATTAAAATAAAGATAAATGAAAACACTTGTAAAAAGGATTATTAAAGATAAGATAGTACTATTGTAAGTATAATCCAGCAGCCTGGAAATTAAGAATGTCTCATTATACATAAGCAGTGCAGGGATATCTGGAGAGGTTTATCTTTTTGGAACAAGCTGAAAGAGCAGAAACAAAATACTTATTTTCCTTTACTAATTTAGGAGTTGGAGAAAAAAAAAATAAAATAAAATAAAGGAAAAACAAAACAAAGCAAAGGGGGCCTAGAAGAGGATGAAGAGTATTTTTCTTCACAGGTGAAGAGAATGAAGAATAACAATACCACTTTCTCTTTGTGTAGCTAAATCAAGATGAGGATTTCATTAAAGACTGTAAAAATAAAGAACTACTTCCTAGGCTTCAAAATATTTAAAAATAAAACAATAAGGGATACAGTAAGAAGTGACAGTGTCTCACTTCTCCATTCCCAACAGTCTTAACAATCCTAGTTTTAAAGTGAAATATAAATTTCTAATTATAATTCACTCCAAATAATTGTGTTCATTCAAAAACTCTCAAGAGAACACTTACTGAGTTAGCAAAAATAAACCAGAAAGTGAGGCCATAATCATAATACTGTTGACCTGAAAGTTTCTAGTCCTTCTCGTTTGTATCACGTTTTCTTACTCAACTGCCTCAAATGTTTATCTTCTGTGAGCAACTTTCTGAGATAACAGACCAAACAACAAATATTCTACCAGCAGACATCCTCCAACACCCACAGTTTTCAGAAAATGCAAAAGGCAGATGAGTAGCCATCACAAAACATTTAGGCTTCAGTAAAAAATGTTAGTCTTTTCTTGTGTAGAAGATTAAGATGTCTGACCTCCAGATGAGCTGAACTATAAAGTTCACATAATAATATCTGGGTTTGAACTTGTTCGATGCTTGGCAAAGACCACCTGCAGACATGGAGTCCATCTAAAATGGACTAAAATGGTGCTTCCACTGTCATAGTTAGAGGACTTATTAATAAAATTATATGTTTGAAGACTTATTTTGAATCAGTGTTCCTGCATCTGTTTACCTCTCATGGTTTGAATTCAGGTACACAGGGTTCAATATGTCATTCCAAATGTAAGTGCCCGAAGAGCACTGACTTCTAGTAGGCTGTTTTACCTTCCATATCCCTAGGACATATGAAAAGACACGAGATGCATGCATTTCAGCATATTATTTTCATGCTCTTCCTTTCTCCAGCTATGGCTAATGTCTGTTTTTACAAACAAGTTCGGGAATGCAAGTCCTGCTTTTTGTGTGGCTGATACCTCACCAACTGTTGCAGGGAAATAAGCTTAAGTCTGAAATAAGGTGATAACAGGGAAAAAAATACTTTGTTTTCAACATGTAATCTGCAGTTTGCCTTGAAGGAGCCAGTCCTATTCAGGCTATTTACTTATGCAAGTCAACTTTATATACTCATTTAACTAAGTTTCCATGTGTTCAGTACTAGCGTATTGCATATAGAGTCGGTAGGACATTTTGGTCATATGTGTATATTTTGTTCTAAAGTCCTCACCTTCCCCTCTAGTGCTGAATACAAGCAAATTTGAGAATGAAATACTGGCCAGGCTTCTGCAGGCCAACACACAACTTGCTAAGAATCCCAACTGGAAAAAGAGAGCAACTAGCTCTTCCCTGTGCTCTTTTCTGAGTGTTTATGATATCCATTTTTATTTTCTTCTGTTATAACTGGCTTAATATCTCAAACATTCACATTGCAAAATGAATGTAATGCAAATTTCTACAAAAACTTGTAATTAATTTGTAATATATTTTTAACTGGGAATGTGCAACAGATCTTATTTTTTTCTTCCTAGCTCACACATCTTCAGCTGCATATAATTTCAGTTGAGTCAATGCTAAAAGCAACATCTGGAAAATGCAACAATAAATGAGAATAAATACAAAGTCACTGAATGGTTACTCATTTTCCTGTCTGTAAGCTACTCGTTTTCCTGTGCTTAGAGAGGAATGGCTATGAGAATTGATATGATTGGGCACACACACAAACTCTTATATTAATTTCCACTGCCACTTTTTTTTTTTTTTTTTTTAATGCAGACTGTTTAACTTCAGAACTGAATTTTGCTCAGATAGACACAGCCCAAAGATATTAGCCAGGTTCACTTTGGAATGAATGTATGTGAGTACTGGAGTGTGGAACCTTGGTCCCCTGTGAGAAGATGACTTTCAGGGAATGATCAGCACACAGGGATCCCACTGGAACAATTGCCTCTGAGAAACAAAACAAAACAAGCTAGCAAAACAGAAACCTCACTGACAACCAACATAGTTTCCATGTGAGAAAACTCATGTGTACAAGTGCTTTAAAGCAGTCTGATGAGAGAGTAATAAAAACTGCATTCAACTGTGAGAATGTCCCTCTATCACATCTGTCAATTCCACTGGCAGACTTTGCCAACAGATTCAAAATGTAAGGGCAGACAATGCAAGAAAGAGTTTGGTATATGCAGTGATAAAAATTTGCAATTTACATTAAACAAGACCAGGATTTTTCAATTTCCTACTTTGCGGTCTTCATGTAGACATTATACTAAATGTTGTCAATCATATTTGCAGTCAGTCTATGCTACATTTCTGTATGTGCACTCCTGTGTTTTCCCAGGTGATGTTTTGAAAATGAAACTCCAGTTGGATCAAGCCCTCTGGGGCTAATTAATTAAAACTTGTAACAGATTTTGAAAGCCTTGGAAATGATGGTCTGTAGCAAAATCCAAGTAATAAAACACTATTTACTCCATTACTTCAGAAAATTAAATAAAAAGCTGCATGCTCCTTCCACGCACCACTGGCCAGTTATCGCAATACAGACAGACTATACAATAGAAAGAGAGACTGCCAGTCTCTCTTCTTTTGCAAATAATGTCTTTAGAAAGACTGCAGGAGACAAATTCCCGGTCAGTATTTTCTTTGATGTCTCCCTAATTTTCTGTGCATATGTTTAAGCTTTCACTTCCTGCAGCAGCACTGCAAAACTCAAGAACTTTAAGCTTTAGATCTCACTAGTAAATCTAGCACTGTAAAAGTGAAATAAACACTTCTGTAAGTGACATATTTTTATACAGATTTAACACTGAGAAATACTGAAGCATTTCTATTCTTGCTGACATTGGCTAAGGAAATGACAGAATAAATCCTCAGCATGGAAAGTGTTTGCTTCTCTTCTCTATTAACTGCTTATGGTCCTTTCCCCAAGTTCCTACTGGTGCATCAAGGAGAGGAAAAAGCATTAATAACTGTTGCCTTGATGTTAAAAACGGCTTAATAATGGAGTTTGTAGGTAAGAATATGCTTTTCCAACTGTGATGGCATGTCTTTTTAAATTCCTTTGGGCCTCAATTCAGTAAAATACTTAAGCACAGTACTTAAGGTAAGTCATAGCCTCAATTTCCACTTGATTTGAAATGTGCTTTTGTGTGATTTAATGATACAGACCATTACTCAGTAATGTTCCCTGTCAAACTAACGTTTTTTCCTCTAGAGAAAAAGAAACAAGGAAACTCAGTAAGGTTCTCTAAAGATTATCCCACTGAAGGAGGAAACTGTGAGGTCGGCACCATTACTCCAAGCCCACCAAAGCAAAGAGAGTGTCTGAATATTTCAGAGATTTCAGTCTTAAGACTTTGACATTCCTTGTGCAGTGGTGAAAAAAAGTCAAACAAGAATTTAACAATTATTTTAAAGGTCAACATAATTAATCCACTCTAAATTGGCAATCTTGCAACTAACAGATAACCGATTTAATTAAAAAACAGGTAACACTGTCCTTCCAATTTCCTGTTAATTGACAGCTGGTTTCTGATGGGAGTTTTCTTCTTTTCAGGTTTGCCTCCTAAAGTTTTAGTACCAAATACACGTAAATCCCATTGTTCTTTTCCAAGTACCTTCTTGCTGCACATCACCAAAAAAGGGGAAAAAAAAACAAAACCAGAAAAAAACAGAAGTGGGTAACAAAGAGACAGAGAATTCAAGAGGAAGATAAATGTCAGATGTGCTCACAAATGCATACAGGTATGAGCCAGAGACTTAAGTGGAGTACTGGCAGTTTATACTTAGTAAAACCTGCACAATTGTTTCTATATAAACCAATGGACGCCACGAGGCAACAAAATCATCAGAAGGCAAATCATTAATTCACTATCATATGATAAAGGCAGAAGCAGAATGACTAAAAAAAGCATTTCACTTAGATAACTGCAGTTTAAGCAAGGTTCAGTGCATGCCTTTACAGGCAAAATAAGAGCACAACAGCTTCTTACCTGAGCTTTTATTGGTTTTGTTTTGTCTGCTCTTTACTTGCTCAGTCCATAATGTAGGATAACGAGAAGCTATATCTAAGAAGAAAAAAAAAAAAAAAAAAAAAGACAAAAAAATTTGTAAATGTTCCAGTTTTCTAAAAGTTACCAGCAGCTATATAATACGTGTTCCATTTTAAAGATACATGGATACTAAGAAGAAGAAAAAAGGGTACACTGGTCTGCATTTGAATAGGTAAAATCTTTAGTCACAGAAAGGCACAAATAGTTTTTCTGATTCCATTTATAACAAGGGTTAAAATACATACTTGAAGAATAAAATCATATTTAAACAGAATAAAAATAACCCAGTGCAGACCCAAAATATGTAATGACTTTAGATCAGATTCTGATCAGAAACTTATGCAGAATGCTAAGATAGTACACGACTATCACTGCATATGGGCCTTGAGCTTTCCATTCACAGAGCACTGAATTTCCACAGATGCAAATAAGCCTGACAAATCACCAACCAGCAACCTCATATTGCTACACCATATGCTGAGGGTAGCATTCGGGATTTTAGCATCTTTGTTTGGCTATTAAGTTTCAATTTGCACTGTGGCTCAAGTTTAAAACCTGTCTGTGCCCTGAGTACTGGTAGCAAATTTGCTATGTCAGGAACCCACAGTTGAAGTGTCACCTCTGAGCTACTCCATCAAATTCACTGTTGGTTTTTTTTTTTTACTTATTCCCAAAAAGGTATGTTTTTAATTTCTTTTCACTTCAGGAAGTCTAATCAGCTATCACAGTTACCAAAGTTCTAAGGTAGAATTTGATGCTGTTCATACTGCATTAGATAATATCACACTGTTAAATTCCTATTGACACTTACCTTCTTCATCACCTTGAGGCTGAGTTTCCAGCGCAGGAGCTGAGGCATCATCTGAATTCAGAATGGAAAAGATTTGCAAGGAGACTACAATTATGAGAGTAAGCTAAATAAGTGTACATACATGATTGATGCTAATGATTTGCACATAGCCCCGGCCGGTAAACAAACAAATTTAAGCATTATTAGCATGAACTGCATAGCACAGATACATTACATCTGCAGGCTACATCTGCCATAAATGGATAGATCTTAAGGTTATGGCTGATAAACTGGTTGCAGGGTCTTTGATAAGGCATGAAGTGACCTGGTTGCTTTCCAGATAGTAATTCTTCATTTTTAATGATGCACATGGATTCCTATAAATTATAATTGAAAAATGAGCATTTCTGAGGACGTAATCGAGTAAATGTATAAAAGGGGTAAGCCCTGTGAAAGCAAAAGCAGCCTGAGATGAACAAGTGGTTGCAGACATGTTGAAACCTTAAAATGAAGCAAGATTCATAGATTAAAGAAACAGAACATTGCTTGCATCATTCTTATCCTTTAGCCAGCTATCTCCATTAGTCCACAATCAACCATTACTGCAAAACAAGAGGGATGGAAATTTACAGAAATTGTAGGAGTGTGTGGATAATCTTCACCTCAGTAAAATACAGTGGAAGCAGTGCTGGAAAATGAAATTTCACTATGAGAAAGTTTTAAATTAGCAGCTTAAAATCTTTACCAATTTAAAATCTTTATGCCATGTTTTTGTCATTTAAAATTACTTCAGACACTGAGTAAATGCAAGTTAGCAGAACTTCACAGCACCTATTTTCTCATAAAAAGGAGCTAACTCCAAGACCAACGTACCCCTCAGCAAATGGCATCTTTCACACAAGGGCATTATGAGAATTTCACAGTTTCACAACTGGACCAGCAGAATTTTTAGAGATGAAGAATCTCTAGATTCTCTAGATTTTCTAAATCTAAGTCTAATCTAATCTAATTCTAAATGAAGGTAATTGTGGAACTTTCTTTTGACGGAGAGTTTAGAAGCTCTCTGACCTTCTTATCTCAAGGCTAATTCATAACAAATACAGATGCAATGTAAATACCGATGTGCACATAAAACCAAACTTAGAGACATGGAACACTACCCTCAATACCTCAATACTTCAATACTTTTCACAAGTAAAGCGGGAGAAATAGGAACTTATCTTAATTGCAAAATGTTTTAACTAAAGCATAAGGAGACTTTTTTAAAGAAAGAATGTTCATCTGTTCCATGACAAGATAATTTGCCCTAATGATATCACAGACCATAACCTCCCATTAGTTTTGCTGGCATTTCTATGGTATCTGCTGGGTGTTGGAAAAAGATCATCAATTAATTTCAGAGAGGCCATTGAACATCCCAGTGTTTTGGAAATAAAGATATGCATTTAGATCATCAATCAGCATGTGAGATTCAGAAAATCTCCAGATTTGTAGAGAGCAGTTTTGGGTGGTAAATATTACCAAGAGCTCAACCACAAATTCTGTTTTGGGTTTAAGTAACATTTTTCTCTGATCATCTTCCTGTACACAGTTTCAGTTTGTGATTCTTTTGATCTTAAGTTTCTACCTAAAATTAAGATATAATTTTTGTAATATAACACAATATAAAGCTTTAATAATTATCAGCCCAATCAAAATTATATTCTTGGCAAAGAACTCTGTTCATTGAAACAGTATTTATTAAGCAGCATTTAAGGCACAATTTATGAATATAAATACATGTTAAAAATCCCAACACTCAGATGCTTAACTGCAATATTAACAGTCATAAGACTGGTCTTAGGTTCTCCCCCCAAAAAGGAAAGAGCTTTTCTTTTCATCTCCATCAAATCAAATGTTTGGTATGGGGCATCTGTGTAATCTAAAAGGCAATAACATCCAGAACTGGAGGAGCTATGTCAGATCCTGTAGTACCCATAATGTGAAGGAGGATATTCGCATTAATTTTCTGCTTGTGCTCTGTCAAAGTGTCTCTGCTTCTCATAAAAAATTTTTGTGCTAAGAATGAAGAAGCACGTACAACTTCCTTGTTCAAAACAAAATTCAATATACCATCCAATTACAAAGCACCTCATCTCCATATTAATTAGATGTTTCAAAAGTTAACTTCCTAGGATTTCCTGGCCAGCACCTACATTCCACTACATATGTACATAGATATGAACAAACCATTCAGTTATCAGAGTTCCCTTAATAAGAACAGGGTCCTGCAGTCAGCTAAGATTCAGAAGAAACATGCTTCCATCTCTAACACTTGTGTTTTTCAGATAGTCTGAATATTTTCTTTGGCTAAAGGAGAGAACGATGGTGCAGGGGATATGCTTTAATCCTTTAAGCTCTGTTTCTGTTTGATTTAACATGCAAATCTGCAAACATTCAAGCAGAGTTCCCAACCTCCAAAATTTGTAGCTGGAGTTTTTTGTTCAGCACTGGAATATTCAAAGAAAGTGAGATGCTCAACTGCAACAGATATGGCCCTCTAGGAAATGCTTTCTGAGTTTGTGTAAGGCATTTTGGAAGAAGAGACTGTCTCAGGCCTGAATGTATACTCTTGAGTATAGTCATCAAGACCAAACAAGTTTGGGGCACATCTTCTGTATCGGCAGGAATGCTGATAGGACCTTCCTAAGCTTACTGGGTTTGATTATCAGTCTCTCCACCTGTGCACTTCCAGTTAGTCCACAGCAACATGCTGAGGGACATTGGGCAGGCAGGGGAGCATTCTGAATTTATTCCAAAAAACTACTACTGTTATGCTCTGTCTATAAAATATTTTTACCACACTGACTATGAAGCAAAAGCACGTATCTTTAACTCAGATGACAGATTCAGTTCATAAACCTGTGATGGTCCTAAAAAGGTTGTGATGTTTCTGAAAATGCTATTTCAGTTAAATCATATGGTAGTGACTTGTTAGAAGGGAGAGGAGAAGGAGCTAGCTGTATCTGAAAAAAGCCATGGACCACCTGAGAACAAGGACATCAGCCTTTGTGCCACAGGCTTGTGCTGGAGAATAAAAACAAGATGTGAACGAACTGCAGCTGTGCCATTTTAGAAACAAGTACATGAGATGCAAAGGGAGGCACAATAAAGTGTCTTCATTTAATTTTCTTGTTCTATGAGCATTCATACAGGCTTCAGCAACTCTGCCCTCCCATTCATAAACAAAAAACCCCCAACATTTATATATGGAATAGTTCATAAAGCTCAAAGGTCAAAATAAATGTACTGACCCAAAACAAATTTTCACAGAAATATATCTGGAAGTACAGAAAGGATCAATTTTCTAGTGCTTATTCAATAACCTCATCACTACTAGTCTTAAAAAAAAGCTTTGAGTTTCTGAACAGTACAGTGGATAACTTAAATCTGGGATATATTACAATGCTGTAAAAAATCCTGTAAAACTTATTTCAGTTATATTTACAGTGGACCAAACTGGATAGTCATTAGCATTTACACTAAGTAGAAGAAACTTCTTTAAAATTAATTTATCCCATCCTAACTGGCACAAAAATTTAGAATGTTATTTTGAGCCAAGTCTAAAATTATTTAAAGCGTTTGGAGAGTGTGAGCTTTAATTCTGTTAAAAGATATCCCCCCTTCATTTAAATCTACCAACTATGTTGGAGTTGCATCAGATTTTGTCCTGCCAAGAAGATACACACTGTGATCTATCTCTAAGAATAACAATCATCTGGCCATGAATTTAAGCAATAATCACAGTGTAGAACAAAGGCTGGGTCCAAGATGACTGGTTGATACGGAGATAAAGCAAGAACTCCATTCCCAAGACCTTGGGACTGCAGAATGCTGGCTTTATCGAGCAGTCAGAATAATCTGTTCTCCAGGACAAGAGAACAACATGAGAAAACAGCTCAGATTATGGCTATGGGAAGGAAAGTTATTTTCCAAACAGCATAAAATCCATAGGGGATTAGAGATTAGAAAAATATGTCACATATACACATATGCATATTATATATGCAAATGTAATAGGAGATGAATATTCACTGATATTCAGAACTATGAAAAATCAAGGGGGTATATCCCACAGCTATTTTAATCCCTATTTAAAGGTCATTTAAGATATTTACCTGCTTTTCCTGCACCTTCTCTTTGTGGCAGTTTCTCACTCACTGAGCCTGCAATTGTAGAAAGAAATTAACCAGAAAAAAAATATTTTCATATTTAATTTTTTTTCTAAGAAACACAGCTTCAACAATTAGTCTTTTTTTTTTTTTTTTTTTTTTTTTTAACAGCAATAACAACATTAAATTCTTCCTTTGCAAACCAAGTATTTTAGCTTTGCATTGTGTGTGCTGGAGAGGCAGGACAAGGCATTAAAAGTCTGAGCCCAGGTTCACTGTAGGAGAGAGGTATCCTCAGGACTGGGGACCTGGGAAGGGAGGCATTGCTGATGGGAAAGGAGTAACGAAATCTGCAGTCGAAAGATGTGTTTTAACTGCTTATTCTACCGGCCTGAATACCAGCCCACCAATCTTCATTGGAAGTCATCAAGAAATGGAGAATCCATTGGTTTCCTTAGTAGTTTTTACAAGAGCTAGTTGGCTTCAGGGTTCAAAAAGAAACAATGCCTTTTGTCAGTTATATGTCTCACTAGTGCAACAGTTTGTTTGATCCTCATGCTAGTCACTTGTCTTTATATCCATCTCTGACACAATAAAGTTTAAAATGAAATTTGTGGGTTTATTTTCCTCTCCGAAGGGTCAAATATAGTGATCAAAAATTAAAAGACATATTATCCATCAGTTTTTACCACATCAATTCTCCTTACATACACCAGTATTTAAGCAAACAATACTTGACAGATACTTAAAGTGTATGAAATAATTGGGTTGCATTAATTGATCAAAATCCACTGTGGATTATAAAAAGAGTAACGTTTCATCACAATAAAGATGTTATAACAGAGCTATTTAAATGAGAAAGCTTATTAAATCAAAGGCCTTATTTACCATACAGAATGGAAGGTTACTTCAGCATGAAGTAGACACAGGAGTCTGCCAGAGGAAAGGCAATTCACATCACAGATCTGGCAAGTCAATTGGATCCACAAAAGAGCACAGAACAATGCAGCCATGTTGGCATTATGTTCTGGAGTATTCAGCTTCTAACACATATGTATATTCATATAAAAAATAATCTAATTTGGACTTGTTTCATTTTTGCACGATGGTACATTTTTATTGCATTGTGTTTGAATTATTAGAAATTCAATATACTTAGCAATGTATCAGTATTAATTCAGACAAGAAAAATAAAAACCAGTATATTCAAAGGCAGTATATCCAAAAGTGTTTGGGATGGCTTGCTATACTGCTATACTGCTATGACTGCAATACTAATCACCATTGCTCATCCTGAAGAGGAGGCAGATGCTTGCCTTTACGCTAAATGAAGAGCTTTTGGATAGTTGGCCTGACTTTGATGAGAGGCCAAGCTTGAACTCAGATAATTCAGTTTTAGAAAATACTATGCTCAAAATTACAGGTGTTTCTAACTGCACTAGAGACCAACTGATCCAGTCTTTCCTCAAATCTCATCAAATTGCAATTAACTCCATAGTTTCTGAATTTAATTTTGAGGTATAAGAGTACATATAAAATTTTTCTTGCAAATACAGAGATTTTGTTTCATTCTCATTGACACCACAGTGATTTACACCAGAGTACAAACAGTATTCAGCCTAGGTGTATGTGTGATGAAGGACCACTGATGGTTCCTTTGCAATGCGGAGTTATAAGTAAAGCCTCAGTTTGAGAACAATATTATCTGTTTCTATGTACACTCAGCACCAGATTTGATATTCTTCACTTTGCTATTATTAGTCCTAAATTTTGAAGGAAAATTGATAGATGGTAGAAGATAGTATCATTCACAGAGATTAATTTTGCCATAGTGAAACCAATCTCACTATGAAATTGGATGAATGCTAGGAAAATTAGGTTCAGTGTGCAAACATTAACTTTTGCAGTCTTAAGAAATGAAGAAAAATACTCTCAGAACTTCATAAAAAAAGCAATCAGTACCCTTCACTTTCTTTCATCTTGAATTTTAAACTACATATCAGAAAGTGTATTTTTTCTAAGTTTGAAGCGGAGAGAGAATTGAGCTTAGTTCAATTTTTTCTAGCATTTTCTGAATATATTTGTGTATTGCTAGTTTAAAATGGTGATAGCAAGATGGATTTCCAAATTTCTAGGAAATTATGTCTTCAATACTCACAAAAAATGTTCACATTTTCAGCCGGGCATGAAATAGAAATAGCAACATATAACTTATGTAAAATGCAATACAATCTGCTTCCTAATTTTCAGTGCACTGTAAACAACCAAATCACCATATAAGTATTTTTATGGAAGGCGAGGAGTCAAGGAGACCATTTAGATTCAGCAGCATTATTTTATTAAGAAGATCTTAGTACCCTTTTACCTTTTATCCTCCATTTGCATGGTTGTGATGAATTAAGAAAAAAATAATAAATCACAGAATCATAGAATCACCAAGGTTGGAAAAGACCCACAAGATCATGCAGCCCAACCATCCATTTATCACCAATAGTTCTCACTAAACCATGTCCCTCAAAACAACATCCAAATGTTCCTTGAACACCTCCTGGATTGGTGACTCCACCACTTCCCTGGGTAGCCCATTCCAGTGCCTGACCACTCTTTTGGAGAAGTAATACTTCCTAATGTCCAGCCTGAATCTCCCCTGGCACAGCTTGAAGCCATTAAACATGAAATCACAGAATCATTCCTTAGTTTATGGTGAAACCCACCATACAGCCCATTTTCAGTCATATGATTTCTGAGGCACAATAAACTTTCCAGGGAATGTAATTAGTGTGTTGTGATTTGTGATTTTAACACATTTTCTACAGTTCTGATCAGATGTGGGTGGACTTCAAAAGAGAAAAAGAGAAAGGGAAAGCTTCATGTCTAGCTAAAGAATATTTGATATGGAATATCAAGAAACAAGAAAGTAAATTTCCCATCCTGCTTAATATTTTGGATATATGTGTGTCTGATTGTCTGACAGGGAATTGCAGGGAATAGGGAAAGTACTACATATAGGTACAGAAGAACTAGATAAATCAAGAATGGATAATTTTCCCAACATAAAAAAAACAATACAACATAAATCAAAGAGTTTGTTACCTTACCAATTGCATCCATTTCCGGTATGTTATCTGACAATAATATTATACAGACAGGAAGAGTTTTAAACATTTAAAGATTGTTGGTTTTGGACTTACAAGATGATAACAGCATTTTAAATATGAGGTAGCAAAACTACATCACAGAACAATAAAATTTGCTGCCGTATCTCTGCAATCCCACTGGCAGAAGCCCAGAAGAGTTAATATGGCATTAAAAAAAAAACCTAGAGCAAAACACAGTGTTTTCCAACAATAATTTAACACCTGCTTCTCTATTTCTGTCCCATTTCCCAGGACTCCGCCTATGGAATTTCTGCAGCCCCCCTTAGTACTGATAAGAGATGAGGAGCCTTAAAAATGTCTTTCTTATGTCTGGTGTTCTTTAGTGAAAGGACTGTGGGAACATTCATCATTTTTAAGGAGCTTTCTTTTCAATGCTGTCATGGGAATGTGTTTGATTTACTCCCCTTCTCACCACTGCTCCTGCTGTAATGGAGATTATTTCCATGGGGTGAAATGGCATTCTGAGATTTATCAGGTGTGTTTTGGCAGTAACAAGTGTTGGAGTGGGAAGAAATGGGAAGGACAGAAGAGGAGCTTCTTTCAGGTAAAGATCTAATAGATAAACTGAAGGTTTTACATCAATCAGTTGTGCCTTTTTAATGCACCTCATAACCTGCAGCTTTCTTGTCTCTAACTAAAAAAAAAAACACAGCTTTGATAAGAGCAACCAGAACAGCAGAAGGAACACAAAATTACTCACACAACTATTGTAGATACATCAAAAAAATATGCATGTGATAGTTTTCTATCCTAAGAGAGAAGCTGTATTAATAGTATTGGAAGTAATGGCATTCCTGGAACAATAGTTAAGACAGGAGTATATCTCCCCAACAACAGCTACCCACTAACATATTGTTCATAATTCCTGTGCATGGTGGAACTAAGGAGAAAGTATAAAAAGGAATCAATGGGGACCTAGAATGTTTCAACTTCGGGTGGGGAGGTGCGGGGGGGGAGTGGGGAGGGAATAAATCTTATGCTAAACAGATGGCAATTTTTAACATACTGGGAAATGAGAGAGGGGTGCAGTTGTGCTTCAGGATTTCATTCTACAATATAAAAGCAAAGTTTTGCCTTATTACCCATGTAAGTTTTTGGAAAATCTGTTGCTACCTTCTCTACTGAATGAGACAGTTTCTCCAGACAATTCAAGACAGAACTCTTATCCACCACTACATCAAAATCTCCTAGTACATCAAATCTATATCCGAGCTCTGCTGTAGCTGGACTTCTTTCCTGAGAGACAAAGAAGAAGTGGTCAGCAGTGTAATTTAAGAGCAGTGATACAAGCAGGGTAGAAAATCTGCAGAAAGAGTCCCAAAGGATCCAATAACAACTGCAAAATTACCCAAGAACTTCCATGGAACAGAAACAGACTCTACATACTCACCTGGACATTGGAGCAGTCTACTTACTTTGGAGCTACTAAATTAAAATCAAATGCTACTACGACCTTCTCCTCAGCACTTCTGCAAAACTGATTTCCCTTCCCACGTCTCTCAAAATGAGCTGAAGCAGAAGTTTATCTGCTAGGCACATGAGTGTCTTTGAAAGGAACTGGGATTTGGTTTCCCTCCAGATAGAATAGTTCTCACATCAACCTATTAACTAAATTGAATCTATCCTGCAGCTTCTACTTGATAATAATACTACTAATAGTAAATGTACAGTAACTATCTTACCAAAATTTTCAGTCAAAAGTAAACATCATAGAATGGCTTGGGTTGGAAGGATCCTTAGAGATCTAGTTCCAACCTTCTGCTGAGGGCAGAGCTACCATCCATCAAATGAAACTTCTCGGGGTCCTATCCCACCCAGCTTTGATTGCCTCCAGGGATGGGGCATCCAGTGCTTCTCTGGGAAGCCTGTGCCAGTGCCTCACCACTCTCTGAATGAAGAATTTGTTCCTACTGTCTACATTAATATCCCTTATTTTAGAATTATTAAGGTTGGAAAAGGCTTTAATCCACTTATTTACAGATTCATTTCTATTACAGGGTTACCTTTTTGAAATTTTAAGTTATTTCTTCCATTCTGACAGAAAATGTGTTGCAGCACAAGCAGAATCAAAATACGTACAGTTCAAGTATTTTTAAAGCCATTTTTGTTGAAAGGATTCAATTATATCAGCTTCAAGCAAGGTGAATAGCAATTCTGGCAACTGTTCCTGCACTGGGGATTTTTCATATTTGTTATCAGTGTCAATGAAATAAAGTCAAAAAGCAAATTCCTAAAAAACAGTGAACTTGTTAATTGTCCTGATGAAAGACACAGGTCCAATACATATTGCAATGAGTTTGATTTGCCAGTTAATTTCTACAGACAATGATTTCATTATGTTCTTAGCACTTTTTTTAAATTTTATTTCTCCTCTGGGATTGGCCATTCATAAGATTTGATGTGGGTGTTCTTTCTCTGGGCTATAACACATCAAGATATTCACAATCAATATTTTTCATTGAGTTTGGATTTTTTTCCTCAAAACACTTAAAATACAAAGAAAAAAAAAAAAAAGAAAAAGCCCTCCAGGCTTTATTAATTCTTTTTGCAAGGAGTTTACAAGCATGAGAGTTACAAAGTAAAGAATGATCTACTTCCACAAGTCAGTTTCACCTAGTTAGACACAAACATCATACATACGACCACTGCAAAAAATCCCTCAGTAGCTATATTATAAAATAAAGTAGATACATCACAGAATCATAGAAAGATTTAAGTTGATAGTGATCTCAGAAGAAATCAAGCAAAGCTAGCTTAAAATATTGACCAACCTTTGTGCAGTCAACTTTTGCAAATGCTGAAGGATGGAGATTCCAAACCTGCTAAAAGCATCTGTTTCTGTGCTGAACAGCTCCTCCAATGAAAAACGTTCTTATTCAGTCTAGCTAGATGGCACAACTCAACTCTATTATGTGTAAGACAGTTTGTAAGACTCAGCCGGCTGAACAAACCTTACCTGGGCAACGAGGAGTTTTGTGGGCCACAGCAGTACCGCTGATTGGACGACCATTGGGAGTGACACACCAGCAGTATCCAGTGTAACTGTGGCACTGAACCTGTCAGCAATGACATGAATCACATGCAGTCTGTCAGACGTGCACCTATTGTCCTGAAGCACTCACAACACGAGTAGTGCGTGCATGCAGCTAACTGTGCACACTGATAAAATGTAGACTAGTAAGCCATAATGCATCGCAATGACCATCAGACATATGATTCTTTAGCATAAAGAGCTTACTTCAACAAAAGTGTGGTAGATCCCTCAGAATCCAGTTGAAGAGAAACTACTGAAATATGTGTTGTTTATGGCCTATTTCAGGAGAGTGCAGGTGTTATGAAAACCTCACAACAAAGTTCCTCAAGGGACACATGAACTGTTCCTGATGCTAGCAATCTCAATTTTTTTTCCACACAGAGAACATATTGTTCACCACTGAAAGTGCAGGACAGAGTGCTTTTGCCAGCATTATTCATATCCCAAGCTGTCAGGAAGGAAACTCTTGGAATTCCTCTTAGAAATCAATTGCATTACACGTGCTGAGGGCCAATATCACTTTCTCACCATGCTTAAAACAAAAAGGATTGCCTTCTGCACAACTCCACAACTGAAATGTATCAGAAAGGCAGCATGAGTGGAATGTATATCACAGAGTAAACATCTAGACGTGACTCTTCTGAATTCTATGATCTAACCTAAGTAAATAAGTCACGTGCTTGTGCACAGCCATTTACTTGTGCTAAAGATCAGCTGAGGAAAAAGAATAATCCTGTACAATTCATCCTAGTAGCACTGATACAGACTCTAATCACACGACTTCTGGTTCAGATCAGGAATAGATCAGAAACTCCAAATATTTTACCATCTGACAAGTATTCACAGGACTACAAGAATGACTCAGCTGTCTCAGCCTTGAAGAATAGGGAGTGTATCATCTGAATAACAGTAATGTTTGGCTCTTTCGCTGGCCAATGCTGAAAAAAAAAACCAACAAGACTCAGCTGGCATAAAACGTGAGTTTTCCTTCTGTTTTTTAACATCACTGTTAGGGCAAATTGCATTTCATTTTGAAATTACATTTCATTTCTTTACATTTCTCTCTTCTTCACCCTTTGCAAAACACACACGTTATCATATTTCAGACACACAAGATAATAAAAAAAATTTTAACCTGACTATATGTGCCATCATCATTGCATTCTGGAATAAACACTTGTTGAAATTCTTTTCGAGCTTGTTCTTGGGTGTACTTCCTCTCAGCCACACATCTGGAAACATCTAGAGAAAGGGAGAAGACATGTCAATTGGATGATGAAATGTAAGAAAAACATAGAAAATAACCTTAAGTAGAGAGAGGCAGGAAAGAAGGCTCCAAGACCACAAAAAGAGAATCAGAATTATAATCAGGGAAAATATAAAATATTTTACGTTATACTTTTGAAATAAAACTATTGGAAAACAATCAATTTTGGGCCATATTGTCCTAATTCACTTTCATGACATTATTTATTTATTTATTTATTTTTTTTACTGAGGAGCATATTACTCATATAACCATCAGCTTCCTCCAACATTTCACTGTTTGTCTAGCTTGTGAGTCCCCTTGGTTTGCCCAAATATGCTCATGCTGCCTAACAGACTATGCAAAACTAACATTTTGCCATCTCAAAGACAAGAGGCCACAAAGTGAAGCACAAAGTAGAAGGACAGAACACAGATATGAGATGAAGAGATGCTTTAATTGACAACTTTGCCATTCCCGCAGCTGCCAGAAGGGCAGAAGGCCAAAAAATATATACTTCTTCAACAAATTTAAACAATAGCTGCCACTTCATGCTCCACAACATTCTTCTAGTGCTGGTGGCAGCAGCACTGAGATCAGTTTTCTAGTGCTTTGGTAAAGGCAAAGTAGGCAGCAGAGTACAGCTTCCATGAGTTTATACACTGTTTACTTCAACCACTCAGTGAACTGAGTTATGACTAGAATTGTGCCTACTAGGCACAGATATACATATATTTTTTCTTCACTTTACATATATATACACTATACAATACATGGGCAGGCAGATGGTACAATAATAATTCTGGAATAAATCACATAATGCTAAAATCTAGTGTAACAACTTGCAATTTAGACTTGGTGCTAGTCAAGCAGGATTTTTTTTGGCCACTGTTGTGGTTCATTGCCGCATCACCTTAGTACTAATCTCCATGCAAGACAAGGCAGGAAATTAGTGTCATGGTTCTATGTTTTTGTTTTTGTTTTTTTTTTATGGTTTCAGTATTCCACATCAAAACATCATGTAGTGTACGGGGCATTAAAGTGTCACTGCCCCAATCCCAGCTACCTATCCCTGTACATTACAGCAGTCACGGGATCTGGCCCTTCCGGGTGGGGGGGGGCGCTCTTGCTGCCTGGCAGTGGGTGCTGGAGGGTGCTTTCCTGGCCGTTCCAAGCTTTTCAGGTTTGAATCGGTCCTGGGAACTCTCTCTCTCTCTCATCTTGTCTGATTTATTAATCTCAATTTCAAATAAATTGTATATATTGTGTTATCTTGTATTCCAATATTATAGTAAAATAAGTTTTCCTCCATAGATTGTTGCCGCTGCTCTTTTCCTCCCTTCCTTCCTTCCCATTTTTTTTGTGGGACCGGGGTGGGGGAGGAGGGCAGAGGCCTGCCGCCCCTGTCACGGACATAGATTGATCTGATCAACTCCGTGACAATTAGGAAGCTTTAACTGAGTAGCTCCTATTTTCTGAAATATTTCTACTGTCTAATAAATATCTGATATTTCAATTAGGCATTCAAAAGCTGTGAAAAGACACATAATATAAGCTTTTGTACCTTTTACTTTTCCTAAAACCACTGCAAATTTTAGCATGTTGCTGATGCAGAATCAATACTTCAGGATCTGCTTAAGCTAGGCAATTTCAAGACAAATGAGAATATGAGGCAAGCCTAAGGAACTATTAATGATTTCAAGATGTGACTGTAACATCTGAATTAGAAAGATCTTAGGCGTACAAACAGAAATTTGCTGCTTTTGATATCTGCATTCTTTAAAGATTGTTTGACAGCAATTGGCCAGATCCTTTTAAGGGCATGCACTGTCCATCAATTATCTATGAGAAAGGAGCATTATGTTAATTAGTGAATGTTAGTACAGTTCTTAGAAAACATGAGGACAGATTTTCTAGCTCATGCAAGTTGCACATTGAACAGAATATGGACAATGAGGCAACACTTGCCTTGCCACATTGGATATCCAAGTACCTTAACATGCTTTTGTCATCTACTAGTCCACAGGAGTTACTCGGTCAAGCACAGGTAAGACAGCTACATTCTCCTTCCTCCAGCCACCCTCCCTGTGCTAGCATCACCAAGCTATGCATGCAAAAAGCTGACATGGAAGCCTGGTGCAACTGCAGAATTCCACTGTACAGGATGAATTCTTCACTAGTCACATCTCCACCAAGCATCAGGTAACTTTAACCAAAAAATTCCCTTCAGGTCTAAGCAATCTGGTGTGGGAAGTGTAGCATAATGACAATATAAACTAGTTCTCAGAATCCATGCACTGTGTACACAAAATTGGGCCCCTCTAATTCTAATCTTCATTTTGATTTCCCTTCTGATCTTGGGCTTGTGTGCCTTACTTCTGTGCATTAGTTTTTCTTTTCTAAATGAGATTTTATTTATCTCTCTCAGGAGCATTATGAGAGTCAGACAGTTCATATTGGTAATGTGCCCAAAGAACAAACTGTCTCATTTATAAAAATTAAATTTCAGTCTTAAACAATATTAATTGTATTATGTTGTTTCATGACAGAGATTTACAGGGATGTATTATCATTTAAAATGGACAGAAAAGTTCAACCATCTAGAAATTTGAGAGAACTAATAAGGAACTGAATTAATTTGTTCTCTGTTACTTTAACAACTTGTTTTCTCACGGGAAAATTACAGTCAATGTGCTGTGCAGCTCAGGTAGTCTGCTAAAGTATGCACTGCCAAAGTATGGGGTTAAAAAAAAAAAGGAATGAAATACTTTAGGCAAGCTTTGGTATCATAAGCCTTATTCTGAGCATGGTTTGGTTATACAGTACTTAATAACATGTGGTTTTAATGTAGCTAGTATTTTAACTGAAAATAAATCAGTTCTTTGTTGGACCTCTGTCCTCGTTTTTCTAGAATGACATGTGGTTTAAATGTCTAAAAGGGAAAGTGATATAAATTCCATCACATAAGATTTCTGCAATAGTACCATCAGGATTGTAAATTATCTCCAATATACGAATTATCCTAAAAACATGCCAAGGCAAAAGAGACGCTCTCCAAAACTGTCCACCACTTGTTCCTAAACAGCTTGATGTTCTAAAAGCCTCCTATTTGTGGATGATCTAATATGCTTTAAAACCAACAATGATCAAATTTAATTGAAATATAAAATTCAAGTCTGAACCCTTGTTTTGTGTTATATAACCATGGAAACATTTTAAAGCTGTTGGGCATTATTATGCTTCAGAATACCCATGAGGAAGCTCTTTTATCAAGCTGAGCATCTGAAACTGTGTGTAGCCAAAACATGATTCCCAAATCTGCTTTTTTATTTCATCGATGTAGTACCATAGGGGAATAACTTTGAGATACAGAGATGCAATCCAAACCTTTTGAAGGAATGTAACAGGAATGTCAAGTTAAAAAGAAGACATGTAAAATACTCTTCCTCAAAATATTAATGGATGTTAGGTTATTTATTCAAAGGTGCTAACTTCCTCCCAAATAAAACATTACTGAAGCCAAAACAAGTTCTTATATTATTATTTAGGATAACTTTGTAAGATTATATCTGATCACCTCATTTTCTGCCCTGGTTGTAGCATATTCTGAACCTACTGCCTGGTTTCAACCAGATTTTCTAAAGGAAAGAAAGAATTCAAGACACTTAAGGGCTAGACTTCTGTAACAGCTGAAAAAAGACAAGACAATGTGTATTTCTGCTGTGGCTGGAAGTAAGAGTGAAACATGAGCTCACATCAAAATAGCAGATGAGATAGATGTAGCTCCTGACAGGTCAAAGTCAGCGAGGCATGATATCCTAACTATAGGGAAAATAAATTTCACATGGCCACTGCTCATGCTCATGAAGCAAAAACAATTCTGGGACTCACCATGTAAAATCCTTTGAGTGCAACAAGCCAGTTCTTACTAAAGGTTCCCCTTATGCACCTGGCCCAAGTATAATGAATATGACTCATAAGCATCTCAAATTAGTAGGATGTGTCTAGGCAGAAGTGGCTTGTCAGAAGGTTTGTAGGAACACTGACATCTATGAGGACCACAGTACAGTCTCTCACATACAGATTCAATTTTCCTCTTTGTCTAGAACAGGAATAATTTAGGTCAGATCTCTTTTGAAATAAAGACCAAGATGTCTGAAAAAGAATGGCTGAAATGACACATTATTTGCCTTTACATTCAGACAATGGGAAAAACTAATCTTGCAGATATAAATGCCAAACTGTAATTTCGAATTATGTTAATAGATGACTCAGAGAGAATGTATTCTCTCATCTCCAGGTAAACGGGTTTTTACATCCCAGAACTTTGCTGGAAAAAAAATACTCCTGGCATAGAAACTGAGCATGAAGATGCATGAGTTTACCTTAAATTACTTAATTTGGACAGTATTAGATGTCAAACTGGGCTAACACAGGCCTTGATGGTTTTTAGCACAGAACATTGGCTGATGTGTTGATGGTACCACTATGACCTAGCACCAAGACTGGAAAGGCAACCAGAGGTTACTCAAAGACATATGGAGCCTGAAGTAATTAACTGAAGACAAGAGTGCATGGGAGTGGACAGAATACACAAAACTGTGGAAAACACAGTGTTGTAGCTGTTTGGACAGGTCTTTCTGAATTATCCAGAGGAGTCTAATGTCTGGAAGGCAGAGGTGAAATTTAAAGCCATCTTAATTCTGTGCTAAGCTTCAGGGTGCAACAGCAAAAGCTTCCAGCTAGGAGGTGGCAGCAGTAGGCAGCTGTGGCATCCAGAAACAGATTCTTTCACACATGAGGGGGTAGGAGCAGAAGAATTCCTGGTATAACACTAAGGGTGTTGTAGTACCAAGGAAATTCTGAAAATAGAATTAGACTTACTAACAGCATAACATGGAACTTTAGTTTTATGTCTTATATTCAACACCACATAACCTAAAATACTAAGCATAAAAAAAATCCATTAACTTCAAATCTTAGTAATCTGAATAAT